AAGAAGAAGAAGAAGAAGAAGAAGAAGAAGAAGAAGAAGAAGAAGAAGAAGAAGAAGAAGAAGAAAAAGAAAAAGAAAATCCCAACTGCTTTATTTTACCAATAAAGACCCAGGAGCCAGATGCTGGGGTGAAAACCTGCTAGCTCACAGAGGGACCAAAAGTACCCAGCTGACCTTCCTACTCAGCTCAGGTCTAGATGGGAAAAAAACCCAAAGTCTCACCAGCTCAAATGACAGCCCAGGAAAAAAAGGCCAAAAATCTCAAGGCCAAAGGCTTGCTAGCTCAAAGCCTTAAAAGCCAGGGAGCTGAGGAGCTAAAGCCTAAGCTAAAGCCAGAGCTTAATCTAAAAGCCCTTTCTTCTCCATGCTGTCTTGAATACTGGTCAACTCAAATTCCCTCCTACTCTTTAATCCCTGTCAGCTGGTTTCTTGCTCTGCCTCTTGAGCTAGAGTTAATTTTATTAAATCTTATATACAGAAAGCACTTGGATTAAAGTTGTGTGATAGGCTCAACAACACCAAACAAAAAACAGGGTTTTACAGTTTGCAATTTTTGAGTTCACAATGGGATCAAATATCTTGCAACATTCCCCCCTTTTCTAAACAAAAGACTTGTTCCCTAATATTAATAAACTATATACTATCAGGTAAAAATTACATTCACAATGTCTAGTCCATACACAACTAGCAAACTTCAAGAAAGTATTCTATCCTATCTTATTGAGTCCAAAGTTCTGTACCTAAATCACTTCATGTCAAAACTTGCATTACCGATCAAAAGAACATCTATTTAGACCTGAAACATCTTAAATCCTAAAGATCTTAAGCTTAATTGTAAGATTATAACTATTTAGACTTAAACCCCATTAGAGACCTGAGAAGAATGAATATTATCTGAATAAACAGGAGGTGCAGAGCAAGCAGCTTCCAAAACTATAGAAATGACAGAGACTGCTGCCTGCCTGGACAGTCATCCAAGAAATCTCTATAATGTAGGAGCATCATCTTCGGGCCTTCTGGCTCAGAATATCTGACAGACTTTTCTGTGAAGCAGGTGTTATGAAGTACTTACCTACCCTGTCCTTACGAATCTCAGCAGTGGAGTTTCCTGCATCCAGTTTGTCCAGCATTCTGTCTGCAGCAGAAGCAAGGGCATTCCTTGCCAGTGGCTAGTTTGCTACATTTGAAGCCATCTCCTACAGTAGATTTTTTTTTTTATGCTCATCATTTTCTTGGAAGTAAAAAAGGGGTGCTGCCAGGAGCTGACATGTCTCATTGTCAAAAAAATTCTCAAATTAATAAAACATCTTTAAATGCCAATTCTATAGATCTCTGAGGTTTTTGAAGACCATCTATCTCTAGCATATCTGAATTACTTATTTCTAGCTATATAGGGACTGATTAACTTAGAAAACATCTGTGTTTAACTAAAATAATACCTAACAAAACCACAATTTTGATTCGTTATTCGTTTGCATTTCTTAATTATCCTAAACAGTTTATGATAATAACTTTCAAAAGGACTAAAATTTCACGTTGCAATTTTAAGAATTACATAGGTGTAATACCTTAAAGAGAGTTGATACATAGTATGCTGTTACCAAAATATAAGCCTAATTTTGTACCAATATACAAATTATCTATACCAATGTAACCAGTTATAACCTTAATTTTGTAACAATATACAAATGTCTATAAGAGTAGATTCCATAATCTATCCTTTTTTCTTATTGTTCCTATATTATTTCTGTATCCTCTTTTTTTT